TAACACAGACTGAGTGGGGTCTTTTGAACAGACTAGATCCGGGGAATTAAGTGGACTGGTAGACCCGACGGCGTCCTCTGGAAAGTTTTTACACCTGCCAGTTAAATTAGCTGGAGATCAGTTGTTTGCAAATTAAGAACGTCGAAACAGTGGTCAAGGCCGTTCACCTTGAGTGACAGGCACTTGTTAGCTAATTTGATCTGCAAGGTACCTCAGGGGCATGGCTTAGATCATCTCCTGGACTGTTGGGTAGAACCAATAGGGGAGGAGTTTAACCTTTCAGACAGATAGAGGTATTAATACTACTAGCTCTGGGCTACTTCATTCACATTGCAGCCAGCCGGCAACAAACACAGATCGACGTAGATGTAATTCTTACTGTCTGATTCTGGTTTGGCGATTGATGGAATGTTCCCAGGTAAGCTTGTACAATTATGTTCAATCTTGTATACATAGGTTAGGGAATTAGCTAAAGCCTATTCTACCTTTTCCCAATGTGTCTACATATTATGCTTGAATGGGCCTCAGTTTGAATAATGGGAAGACCGAAGTAATGGTGGTATCAAAGAAACAAATTATTCCTAAATGTGTAATAAAAGTCAATGGTGTTATTTTAGGACAAGTACAGAAATTTAAGTATCTGGGCACATGGATAACATCAGATGGAAGATGCATAACTGAAATAAGAAACAGAATTGGACAGGCAAAAACTGCATTTTATAAAATGAAAAACATCTTGTGCAATATATCATTGTCATTGAGAGTTAGAAAAAGAATTCTTGCTTGCTACATAATCCAGTTTTAACATATGGATGTGAATCCTGGACAATCGGTAGGCCGGCCAAACAATTTTTAGAGGCCTCAGAGATGTGGTGTTACAGAAGAATGCTTAGAATACCTTGGACAGCCAAAAAAAAAGCAACCAAGAGATTTTGAAAGAGGCCGGAGCCCGAAGACAACTTATCACAGACATCAGAAGGAGACAGTCATCATTTTTCGGCCATGTTATGAGAAAAGGGAAAATAGAACATGTTGTGACCACTGGAAAGATCTGTGGAAAAATGGATAGAGGAAGACAACGAGAGAAGATGCTTGACAGTCCTGTTGCATGGCATGGAGGTGTGTTGGCACCTGAACTGATACATGCTGCAGGAGATCGCAGATTATGGAGAGGCATGATCGCCCACGCCAGTCGGCAAGGCACCTGATGATGATGATTCGGCTTGAAATTATTCTTTGTGAGTATTCAGTATCTCCGTTAGGGAACTGCTAAACCATTCATATTTCTTGTATGTTTTGTGCCGCATGTTTTTCATGTATGTTTTCATGTTTATAAAATAAGACTTGTATACTGAATTATAATGAAATTATAATGTTTCAACCATCAACCAAAACATGAGTTTGGACTAGGGGAAATGATGCTCACATATGTGCAGCCATGCGGTTACGTTTGTGTGTGCCCACCATGTGCTCACTAAATGTGTTCACCTACACAGAGAAGTTATAACCCCAGGGGAAGAATGATGGGTGTATAGAATTCACTGTCACTTAAAGATAATATTCAGGACAGCGTGCACGTATAAAATGTTTTGCGTGTTCAGCACATAACCTGCGCCACATGTTTATGTCAAATCAATGTCAGCCAGTTGGAAGTCTGAGTGATGACGGACAACAGACTTAGAAAGTCAACTATCATGACAGAACATGAGAGGGAAGGCAGGATATGTGACTTCAATGTAAGACCTAAGACCTTCAGATTAGACTGAAGAGAATGTGGAATATGAGGAGGAGTGATGAGATTTATTTTATTATTATATATTGTATTAATTGATACATGTATTCTTAGTGTAAGTCAAGATACTACACGTATGTGTTTGTTTCCATGATTACAGCTGCCATGTGACGATCAGTCCATGCACGAGACTACATTGTGTTAGAACTCGGCCAGCTGGAAACGAGGTGGGAACGAAGAGGAGAAACAGGCAGACAACAGGCAGGGAAGAAGTTGGAAGAGGTGGACAAGCTTGACAGTGCCTCACGGCTGTCAGAGGTTTTATAAGTTACGTTAACATCTTTTTCGTTAACCTATCACCATCATTACACTACTCTAATCCCAAGAGCTGTTTTCCCGCTAAAGCATCTCATCACTATCATAACATTAGCCAGTCACTGTTTGTGTAAACACTACAAACTGGGAACGTCATTTAACTGATTGTTAGTAAATAAAGCTGTATGTCAAGTTTTATACTACATCGTTTGTTAAATTCCAAGTGTATTCAGTCTTACATGTTTAACTAAACTGATAGAATACCATTTGGCGGGCGCTCAAATAATAATCATAATAATTCTTTAATTATTAATACCGCGAGAAGGTTGGACGGGAGGAGTCATTTGCCCTGTCTAATAATTCATTCAGTATAATGATATAGACATCTAAAACTCCTTTCCTTCTCTTGTGGGTACCAAGTGCCGCTAATGGTAAAGAAATTAATGAGCCAATATGGCTGTTTTCTTGGATATCCAGGACTTTGTCTGAGAGCAACATAGCCCGGATAATAGTCTAGTTAATCTGGTGGAGGGAATATGTTGAGAGGAAAATCCCTGCTCAACATATAAAACATTAAATCCACATCCGTTTCGTCATACTTTGTCACTGGGAGTTAGAAAAAAGAATTATTGCTTGCTACACACATCCAGTTTTAACAGATGACTGTGAATCCTGGACAATCTGTAGGCAGGCCAAACAATTTTTCAAGGCTTCAGAGATGTGGTTTTACAGAAGAATGCATATAATACATTGGATGGCCAAAAAGAGAAACCAAGAGGTATTGAAGGAAGCGGAAGCCCGAAGACAACTAATCACAGACATCATATGGAGACATCATTTTTAGGCTATGTTATGAGAAGAGGGAAAATATAACATGTTGTGACCACTGGGTAGACCTGTGGAAGGAGGGATATAGGAAGACAACGAAAGAAGATTATTGACAGTCTTGTTGCATGGCATGGAACTGTGTCGGCACACGAACTGATACATGCTGCAGGAGATCGCAAATTGTGGAGAGGTATGATCGCCCACGGCAGTCGGCAAGGCATCTGATGATGATGATGATGAAAGATGTCATAGTGTCCGAGCAAGTTTCGGACTTGTGTAGGGTTCTAATCACTTTAGGTCGTGAATGCAGGGACTGGCCAGCTGGTACTGCAGAATCAGAAGTTCAACAAATGATTCATGACAATTTCCTTCCAAGTGATGTGATTATCTATACAGATGGCTCTGTGTTGAGGGGGCAGACGAAGTGCATGGGGGTTCATATCAAAAGCGAATGGACGTCGCTTATTGCAACAAAGCCTGGCATATGATATCACAACGTCTAGTTTGACACTGGAGGTGGAGGCAGTCTCTGCTGTATTCCGCTGTACACACATGTACTGATTGCATCTGACTCACAGAGCATGTTGAGAAAAGCGGAGACAGGTATGTTCTGTGCAGTAGCAGGCGTCACTTCAGAGGACGCGGGTAGTTAACATCCACTGGATATTCTCTCCAGGACTTGGTGGTGTGTTTGGAAATGAGCATCCAGATAGACTGGCCGGTTCGGCACCACTTTGTGATGAACCGATGTATGACAAGCTTGATGTTGTGAGGTCCCTCTGGGAGCGAGTGAACAGTGAGGAAGCGCAAATAGATCATTACCGTCTGAGGAGAATGGAGCTTCGGGGAGTTGCCAGGGGATCTGGCTGACGCTCAACACTCAAGGTAAAAGCGAGACAGATATTCAAACAGACAGTTGCTGGTGTCATCGGAGTCGGAACTCTTCGTTTGCTGCTGAAGATGGGGACGAAGCGTTTATGGGAGTGTCCTAAATGCTACGATGTCGTTTCTTAATTCAGCATTCATCATTATTATCATCTCGTGTCGATGTGGAATGTTTCAAGTCTCTGCCCCAGTGTGGGACGCAATTGTGTGTGTATGTGTGTGTGTGTGTGTGTGTTATTTTAATGCTCACCCCGGCTCTTGGCAGAGACCCTAAATATAACCTAACGGTTGAACGCCGTTTCTAGGACTTGCGTGATACTCATCCGAATAGTGGCACTTTTTGTCACCAGGTGTTTATCCTGGTCGCGTGGTCCTGGTGGGGTTGGACATCCACCAGTCCTTTCGTAATGTCTTTAATTTAACGAATCCACTGTCTTCTTGTGCGCTCTCTCACTTTCACGCCAGATCTCTCTCAGTGTAATGTCTGTGTTGGCAGCTATTGTGGCTGCATTCTATCAAAATAACCAAACCTTCTGATCTTTGACTGCTCAATGATTTTGAAGCACGGTGTTCTACAGTCTCTCTGAAAGTATCATTTCTTACGTTGTCTCCGATGGTTTTTCTCTGGTAGCTCTTATCACATTTGTTAATTTTCCCAAGGTTTGTCTTTGATAATGTTCAAGTGTGGACCAGTAGCAAAGTGCTGGTGTGATCATTATCTTCAAGCGCCTTGCCGACTGGCCTGGGCAGTGATGCCACTTTTCTTTGACAAAAAACACCCAAAAAGGAGTCAACAAATATATAAAAACATCTGAATTTGCGCGGAAAACATCTAGAAAAATATCTAAATGGAAAGAGTCACAAATTACATAGCATTTGATATGACTTACCCTAAAGAATCATGTCCTCATCTTTACTTAAGCCTACCTTACAAGATCCACAGGATAAACTTAGCTTGGATGATAAAGTTGAAGCTTCAGATCCAAAATGACTCTGGTATGCTTTAACTATTCCAATTTCTTCTAATACCCAATCAGAGTGCTGATAAGTGGAACAGCCTTTTCCTACTCTTATCAGGTCGAATTTTATTGTCAAGATAGCATTTAAGAGGTCTAATTTCATCCTGTTTCTTAGGTTAGATTTGATAAATTTACTCAAAATGAAAAACATTTAGAAAAATATCTACCATGTAAACGTCAAAAAAAACGCCATCTAAATGTAAGGACAAATATCTAAATCTGGATGTAAAACATCCAAAGTGGCAACACCGGGCCTGGGTAATCGTGCCTCTCCACAATTTACGATCGGCAGCTGCGTGCATCAGTTGACATCCTCCATGCCTTGACAAAAAGCTGTCAAGGATCTGCTCGTGCTGTCTTCCTCTGCCGCCCCTTTCCCCAGATCTTTTCAGCGGTCATAACACGTTCCAGTTTCCCTCTTCTCGTAACATGACCAGAAATGATGAGTGTCTCTTTCTGATGTTTGTGATGAGTTGCTTCGCGCTCCAGCCGCTTTGAAAAAAACCGGGCTGCTCTTTTGAGCTGTCCAGTGAATGTAAGAATTCTTTGGTAAAACCACATCTCCGCGACCTCAACATATTGTTCGGCTTGTTTATTCGGCTGGTGTTGTTCCTACAGTCTCTGATAGTATCATTTCTCACTATGTCTCGGATGGTTTTTCTCAGGCATCTTATCCCACATTTGTATTTTTACAATTTGTGTCTTGTCGTTTATATTTTGTGTCTTGTCGTTTATAATCTGTGTCCTGTCGCTTATAATGACGTTGGGATGTCTTCCTGATTATAGATTTAAATTGTAGACAGTCTCGCAAGACGGGTGCATAAAAAGGTCAAGGGAAAGACAAAAAAAAAAATAAAAAAAAAATAAACACATGAATGGCTGGGCCATGTAGATAGGGCGAGGCAAGAGCACTAAACAGATCTAAGATTCTGGTGATCTTCTTCTTCTTCTTCTTGTTTTCTTTACTCATGGACTGCCTCATGACGTCAGGGTAAGAAGAGATCTCTTCATTTGTATGAGCTCTATAGTGAGCCACTGCTGGTTTGCTGGGCCAACCATAGCAGTGTTGCCACTTTCTTTGACAACAAACATCCAAAACGGAGTCAAAAATATCTAAAAACATTTAAATTTGCGTGGTAAACATCTAGAAAAAACATCAAAATGGAAAGAGTCACAAATTACATAGCAGTTGATATGAGTCACCCTAAAGAATCATGCCCTCATCTTTACCGAAGTCTGCCTTACAAGATCAACAGGAAACTTAGCTTGGATGATGAAGTTGAAGCTTCAGATCCAAATTGACTCTGGTATGCTTTAGCTGTTCCAATTTCTTTTAAAACCCAATCAGAGAGCTGATAAGTGGAACAGCCTTTTCCTACTCTTATCAGGTCGAATTTTATTGTCAAGATAGCATTTAAGAGGTCAAATTTCATCCTGTTTCTTAGGTTAGATTTGATAAATTCACTCCAAATGAAAAACGTCTAGAAAAACATCTACCATCTAAACGTCAAAAATGCCATCTTAATGTAAGGAAAAACATCTAAATCTGGATGTAAAACATCCAAAGTGGCAACACTGAGCCACAGTGTGTTCAAATTTCCTTAAAGGTCACATGACTTTTTCTCCTCCTCCTCCTTCTTCTGCTTCTTCTGCTGCTTCTTCTGCTGCTGCTGCTTCTTCTTCTTCTTCTTCTTCTTCTTCTTCTTCTTCTTCTTCTTCTTCTTCTTCTTCTTCTTCTTCTTCTTCTTCTTCTTCTTCTTCTTCTTCTTCTTCTTCTTCTTCTTCTTCTTCTTCTTCTTCTTCTTCTTCTTCTTCTTCTTCTTCTTCTTCTTCTTCTTCTTCTTCTTCTTCGCGTTCACTAGCTGTAAACTCCGGAGGAAAGTTCTGATTGTTCGTCCACTTCTGGACTGCACTCCTGTTCCAAAACCTGAGTGTTGCGTGTGTATCCGTTTCACAGATCTGACTCATTTGTATGCAGAATCCTGGTTGCTTGTCACTCAGGCAGATGCACTCCGACTTCGAAGGAAAAGTCACATGTAAATGAGACTATTAAATTCAGACTAGTTTAACACAACTTAGTAATCTGGTGATCAAAAAGTAAAATTCCCGTCACAATGTAGTGCTCAGTTTTTCGTTATTATAAGGCCCCCTCCCAGCTGCAGTCGGAGACCAAAACATAACCTAACGGTTGAACAGGGTTTCTATAACTTTTGCCAGAGTGATCCTCATCCGCATAGAGACACATTTTGTCGCCAGATGTTGGCGGCCCGTTGTAGGTCCTTGTGGGGTTGGACGACACACACACAGACGCGCTCGCACACATACACGCACACGCACACACACACACACACACAGAGGCGTGCGCGCACACGGGCACACACACACACACACTCTGGTGATGGTCTGAGATGGCAGTGATGACCGCTTGTGTGGTCAAATTACCCCTGTTTGTTTAAACAACCTGAAATAAAAGACATCATGTGTGGACCGATAGTAGGATAGACCATTGTAGTACTGAACACAGCCGTTACATCATCATCATCAGGTGCCTTGCCAGCTAGCGTAGGCGCTCAAGCCTCTCCCCAGATCTCAGTCTTTGGTGTTCTGGATCAATTCCATTGATGATATTCCTCCATGACACTGTCTTAAGTCATCCACAGTCAGTTTTCTTGGTCTGCCTCTGTCTCATTTACCGGTGATCTTTTCAGGTGTTTAGATATTTTCCCATGCTCCTGTTCTCATCACATGACAAGACATTTATTTGTCGCCTTCTCATTTTTGTATGTAACGTGTTACTTTCACTAGTCATTTCCAAGCAATCATTGTTATTTATTCTGGCATCCAAGGTATTCGTAAAATTCTTCTCAAAAAGCACATCTCAGTTGCCTCCATCCTCTTCTTAACTGACAACCGTTACGGATTATAACTTTCTAGGACATAATTAGATGTCTTTAAAAAAAAAAATCAACTTATGAAGAGAACTGAAGACAACACAAGAGAAGGATGTTTACCTGGATGGTGCTGATAAAAAATTTGCCCTGGCTTGGTGTGAATTGTACTGCCTGTTTGAGGCTGTAAGTGGCCAAGTTGCCAATTAGGCGGACTCCACTGACTTGTGTGTCTTCATCCTGGCAATAAATACAAGCAGAGCCGCATGTAGACTAAACGACACCCTAAGTCATAGGCGCTGGAGTCTGGGGCTCATTTCCTGTGAGCGTCCCCCCCCCCCCCCCCAGCCTCCCATTTTTAAAGGGAGGGCTGAGGCAACGCCTTCTCCGGCTCTGGAGATGGCACTGACTGAGGCTCCCCCCCTCCCCCCCCCCCGTAATTAGCTCTCTGTTGAATACAGCTTATGTTAAATATAAATGCAGCCATTTCACCTGACTACACATAAAATATACAGGAAAACCAGCCTATCTTAACCCTTCTGCCTGAGTCTTCATATTTGCCTCAACTTTAAAAACAAGAAGAACTCCACATGCACAGCAGGGGTCCACCGTCATCAATAGAAAGATTCTTCCTAGACAATCTCGAATTGAATTGTGGGCCCGACTGGTTCATGCCTCGAGGCCTCAGTCTTCCCCTGCTACACTTTATCGGTCTCTCTGACATGGACAAGACGATGTGATGACTTTGCAACAGGTGTTGTGAGATTTGGTGTTATTTTGTCGCTGCGGTAGCAAATTAGATCGGTCGACTACCTTAACGACCAGAGTGACAAGTTAACAGTTGGTCTGTCAGACAAGTATTAGACTTTGGCATTTGGTAGAGAGACATCGGCAGACATTTACCAGACACTTTGGCTTTAAGGGATAAGAAGCTCCTTCATAACTGGGACTGGCCAGTCTACAGAGGTCCTTTCTCACGACGTCCCTCTACGACCTACGTTCAGAGCCAACTCGAAGCCTTTTCAGCTGTTTCGCCAAGTTGTTTTAGTGACCGTTTACGCTCGTTTCCTGGCAAGCCCAACTGCTTTAGCACATTGTAAATGGAAGTGGAGATAAGACCTCTTACGCCTATCTCGACGGCGAAATGTTTTACTGTGTACGCCTCATCTCTCCTCAGATTGTATATATAAATAAATATAAAAATATACTTTAAATAACATGAAATTCATGAAGAATTATTTACAATTTTTATAATGTAATGTAAGGTAAGGTGCACGTGTTTTGGGGATCCCCCGATGTTTTCTTACCTAACTGGGGAGGAGGGAGGTGCCTTAATGGATCTGAGCTTACCCAATTTTTGCCTAGTTGGTAAGAATGACATAACTGATAGTGACCAGCCTAAAGAAGGCCTGGCTGCAAAATCTGGCCACATCACTAATGCAGGCCGTCGAAAAATGGCTGACACGTGTGTTTCAGTGTGTGTTCGGTTTGATTTTTTCTTGTCACTTAGTAATATTAATAAGCGGTTTCACCTTCACTGTTGATTCACTTATAAGTGGTGTTTTCAGGGAGTAGCTTCAATCAGTTCTTTGTGTGATTCGCCATTTATCTGCAGTGTGTTGTGTTTTCGTGGAGCATCAACTCAAAGGTAAGAGAAAAAAAAAAACAATAACAATGCTACACTTTTTTAACCTTGTGTCTATAAGTTTCACGATGCCTCTAAAATGCAGGTCAACATATTTCAAAGAAAGGTTTATTGACATATTTCAAAGAAAAGCTACAAAAACAATTCTAATAGGAATCTTTGACTTTTTTCTAGGAGGAAACTAACCTCTAAGACGAAATTCTAATATAGTTTTGAATGAATGAATGAATTTTTACCCCACCAGGACATCACACAAGCGATAAACACCCGATGACACAAAGTGCCACCATGTGGGTGAGGATCACCGTGGAGAGGTCCCAGAAACCGCGTTCAGACAATTGGCCATATTTATGGCCTGCCTATATTGCGGCCCCTGGCAAAAGCCAGAGTGGGGCTTCAAATAACGAAAAATTACTTCCTGAAAAGGACGTATTGTATCATAGTGCTAATATAGTTATAAAAGGAAATGTTAATAACTGCTACAATAAGTCTTCAAGAAACTAATATTTACTTATATCTTACAATCATTGCTTACTCATGTTAACATTACTTATAAATCTCTAATGTCAATGCCAACATATTTTTAAATAAACTGTCAATAAATCCCCATCATAAACCGCCAACACATTTTTATATAAATTGCCAATGTATCTCTAACATACACTGCCAACAGATTTTAAGATAAACTGCGAATAAATCTCTCATATACAGCCAAAACATTTTGACATAAATTTCCAGTAAACCTCTAACATTCATTGCCAACAGATTTTAACAAAAATTATCAATAAATCACTAACATAATGACTGGACAAATGCTGAATGTCTGTGATACTGATGGAACTGCTGAAGCTAACTTTTCTCATTTAAAGAAACTGTTTTACAGTGAGTAACATAATTTTGCAAAACTGGCATCTAAACTTTCCAACAAAGCTATTTATCTCTCCAGCATAGATAGACAACAAGTCTGTGTCTTAAGGGCAGTAGTGAAACGGCATATTCTATTAGGGGCATCCTTAGATAGTGGAATGTTGTTTATGTGAAAAGTACATTTGTAGATAAAATGACATTGGGAAGTCAGTTGTGTCATTGCTGGCTTTGTCTCTAGTAAGCAGATTAAAATAATATTTATGCTGCATGCCAGACTTTACTCTTTTTCTGCTGTTCAGACTAAAAACATTTTTGTGACATCTTGTTAGTTACATCAAGACCTTCTAGAGGCCTATAACTAACTAACTAACTACATCTGGTCGGGCTCTGAGCTGTTATGCGATTTACGTCCAAAGAAAGGAATATGCATACACAAATACATACGTGTGTACTTCCGTTTGTACTTACGTACATATGAACATACATGTTTACAACCAGTACCAATGGTTTGATATGCAACCCATGTGGAAATAATTCAGCAATGGAATCTACCACATGCAGAATAATCACTTTATAAAATTATGAAAATTAGGAGCAGGAAAAACATAAATTAAACCCCAAAAAAAGCATTATTGCAAAATATTACCAGAGAATCTAGATACACAGTACTTGCCTCTAAAATCTTTGTGAAGAGCAAATAATTGGCTTTTAGGACGTCCATCTGGCTGTAGTGATCCGGATTCCAGTTGTCTGATGAAAATAAGCAAATTGTTTTCTTCTGTGTTTGGTCTTCTAATGGAACATAGACTCTCAATCAGCTCACGATAAGGTATCCTATCCGTCTCTCTCTCTCTCTCTCTCTCTCTCTCTCTCTCTCTCTCTCTCTCTCCTCTCCTCTCAGTCGTTGCCCTCAGTCTGTATGTCTCACATCCTAAATTAAATCTCCGGGAACGGCGTTTTCCCTACGAACTGTGCTTTTCCTACGAACTGTGTTGCTGTTACCGACTCTTGGATACTTTTACATAGTCGATAGTGGACATTTTCAAGAGTCGAAAGAGCTAAGTCAACGATCTTCAGAGTTTGTTACCATTAAATCTGTTATCATCAGCTCACCATCAGAGTATGCTTCCATTAACGCGCCATCAAAATTTCCTCTTATCAACTTCCCATGAGAGTTTGTAACCATCAACTCACCCTCACGGTTTGCTGATATCAACTTCCCATGAAAGTTTGCAACCATCAGCTCACCATCACAGTTTGCTAATATCAACTTCCCATGAGAGTTTGCAACCATCAACTCAACCTCACAGTTTGCCAATATCAACTTCCCATGAGAGTTTGCAACCATCAACATACCACGCGAAGGTTTGCTAATATCGACTTTCCGTCAAAGGTTTCTATCATCACGTACCATGGATGTACGCTAATATCAACTTCCCATCAAAGTTTGCTAACCACCAACCTACTGTGACAGCGGGAAGAAAGAAGGAGGGAAAACAAGGAGAGAAAATTGTGATTAGAACAAAAGTCATAGTAGTTCCCTCGCTAAACAACAAAAACAAAATAGTAAAGAAAAGACAGTGGTTCTTCTCCGCAGAGATCCCAGATATTTCACCTAGACCCTAACTATGGATATCTGCATAATAACGTTACATGACGTCGACCTAACTACAGGGGTACACACACCTAGACAACCACGGGCTACAGATCCTAAATTAAGTCAAGCAAATGAATTATGATCACATTAAACAGTTTATTTTACTCAACATTACATCAGCGTGGTCAACAAATAACTGCATTAACGACAACTACGTGCTCGACCAGAATCTCAAATATATAGCGATCTACCATCCAACTATCTCTTAGCAAGAATACAAATGAAAATTAATTTTAAAACTAACCAACTAAACGTACCGTGATCCGAAATCAGTCAGACCACGAACTTTCCCTACGCCCGCCATGCCTGTTAACTAGCCCATTCTGCAAAGCACAGTCGCTAGGTGGGTCCGTCCGGAAGTCAAAAAGGTAGAAAATCTGTCAGCCAGGTCTTTAAATACCTCATTGGCCAGTTTTTCCCGTGTTATCGTCTAACACTAATAAATGGTAATGTTTCTCCTTTGACCTGTTGGCCATTTTTAAACTAAAATAAATTCAAGATCTTCAGGCTGCTGAACCGTATGTTTCCAGTCTGTTACACTACCATCAAAACTGGTTAATATCAACCCACCATCAAATTTTGCTACAATCAAATCACCATCAAGGTTTGCAACCGTCAGCTCACCTGGCCTAAAAATGACGATTCTACACCCGTCCTTGTCCCGATGTTTCAGTACTTCAAATACGCCATCATCAAAGACATGCCGAACCCGAGTTGGCTTCAGATCACTGAAAATGTCCGGAAACTGGAGACGGATGTCGTAATAGTTCTTCACAAGTTGGAAAGTCCTTTCCTGGTCAAACTTGCGAGCTCGTAAGAAACGTAGGAGAAACTGGACATCGGTTCGTAGCTGCAGACCTGGGAACATAGTTGAGTAGGCTTTCTTTGTGGTATGTTGTGTGTTTGTAACCTGATGCAAATAATTGTAGAGGGTGTGAGACTGAGTGGTCTCGAGGTATAGTGTCCGCCTCCAGTGCTAGAGGCCCCGGCGAAGGCGAGGATTTTTTCACATTGACTGCTAGTAATTTCCCTTGTCTCTAGGTAGTAGGATCGGACGCCTGTGTGTATCGTTACGCACGCAAAAAATTCCCCGGCAGTTGGAAATCGAAAAGATTAGCTTAACGACGTTGCCCGGGCAAATTTTTGAGTTAAAAATCTACCCAAAGTATTTCAGGATCCTCGCCGGCGCAACGGAGTTCATGCACTGCGCTGAGATTCTTCAGACTCATGCTTGAGTAAGAAGTAGAACGGAGCACTTATATGTTAATACTCGTGTGCCATGATATTGGTCCGTTGAATAAGCAATCAAACAAACAAACTGGCAGATGCTCAGTCCCAGTCCTCTGAGTTAGTTATCTATCTTTTACAAGTGGCGAGGTGTGCTTTTAGTCACTGTAACTGGCGCTTTCACTTTTGGTTGCACCAACATTTTACTATTTATTATTAATGTTTAACTATTTATTATCAATACTCCCCATTTTTACGGGTGCTTTCCAAACATCTCCCCTAGGATGGCGTCACAGGACAGTCCAATATTTTCGAGGGTGGTCAGGGCAGGTTTCCCGGCTTTCTGATGCTCTTAACAACCTCAAAACATTTAGACCTGGGCCCAACCCCAGCCCACCTGTCCCACGAGAGAGTGCAGCCTAGGTCCCACGACTGTATGCAGCCTATCTACCCCCCTTAACCCATAAAATATTCGACTGTCTGTTTGGACGGAGACACTGGGATAGAAACGATTCTCGTCTCACCGAGCACAAACAGCTTGTTTACAGAATTAACGTAGCGAAAAGAACGTTTTTCTGAATGCTTACGACACTCATACAGAAACTGTAAGAGCTCGTTAGAGCTACCAGTTACTTAAAGATCGATGCTGGCTGCGCACGTATACTTTCAACAGCGAAGTGACGAGAAGGCAAATATCGCGGGATGTTCTCATCGTTACCTGCTAGCACTTGAATTTTATATAAACCGCTTACACATGCGATCTGATCACGTCTCTTCACTGTCCTTTATTGAACATAGCAAACTAACCTTAGTGTTCATTGGCGACCGGGTCGCAATTTGGCTGGCCCGTAGACGACTTCGTCGCCGGTCGGGACAGTATTTGGGTCAGTCTCCTTTAATTGCATAAACACTGCAAGAGGCCTTTTCATGGCTACTTGGTGGCGAGCAATTAAAAAAAAGTAAAGGACCCTTTTCCACGCCTTTAGGCATATAGGGCATATAGGACATGGGGATATAGAACATATAGGGCATATAGGACATATAGGGCATACAGGGATAGACCTATATTTGTATACACCAATCGGCACAAGATGAGAGATGTGGTCAGCATCACCCCAGCTGTCTTTACTTCCTAGGACTGCACCTGGTACCCACTCAAGGTTGGGTCTACCTGGCGAGCAAATACCAAGCTATTTTATACGATGCAAAAAACCTAATCACAATTACAAGGTAAATCTTCCTCTTCGGGGCTGCTAGTTGAACGTAACATATTTTTTTTTTTGCAAAGCAAGTCAGCCTTAGTATTTGTAGGCTATTTCTAGCTTTACTAGGAATTTAAGATTGAGTTGTTTTTACCTTTGTAATGGCTTGTTTCTCAAACGGTTTTCAAAATCAACACAAGGCGGCCTACTGTCTTATTGTTTGCAGCTGAATTGAGCCCTGCATCTACAATGGAAAAGCAAACCTTCAATTTTATTTAACTAATGTATCCAGTCATGCACCGTGCAGAGTGGCAAGCATCGCTTTAGAGGTTCCGGGTAGTTAGCGTCCTATAGATATTTTCTCTAGGTCATGTTGATGTGTTGGGGAAACAAGCCGAAAGATATAATGGTCGGTTCTGCACCACTTGGTAGTGAACTGTTGCATGACAAGCTAGATGTTGTGAGGGCCCTTTGGTAGTAAGTGAACAGTGCAGAGACTCAATTAGATCATTACAATCTGAAGAGAATGATGGCAAAAGAGGAAATTAACGATGATGAAAATGATGATGATGATGATGATATACCTGGAACTTTCTCCAGTCTAGTCCTTAAATTTTTGACTTCGAGCAGGCGAGTTTTTGGATCCTCGTTCAATTCTTTGGTGGCTTTTTCTTGCAGTTGTGGACTCAGTGTGCAGGTGTAACTGTCCTCAACCTTCTTGCCCGATTTAAACATGGTGGTTTCTGGAACAACATCCGTTATTTAGGATACTGAGCTCTGTCAACGAATAGCGTCGTATGATAAGAACATACGTCTGTTTAAGTCTCATCAACAGATCAAATACATTGACAATAAGCAAGTAGGTGAATAAATAAATACATTGAATTACTGCATGTTTTCACAATCTTTAATGGCAGTGTTGAACAGGAAGTCCTGATTCTAAAAATATAAACTTTACTGCACGGACTATGCAGGCTAGGAACTCAGCCCCCTCCCCCACCCACACTTGAAAAAAAAAAAAACCTCAATTTAACATGGATTTGAACTCTGGTCTCCCGTACGAGAATTCACAATTGTTATCCACTTAGCATGCCTTTCACAAGTGCAAGTATTTCAGGGATTCCTTGGAGTGGACGCAAGGACATACAAAAGAAACTCACGTTTGGATCAACACCTTTGTAATATTTCAAGAAGTAATGCTGAGAAAACTAATAAATATGTCAGAGACAAAATATACAAATTTGCGGGACATCCGGAGCCTCTCTTGGCAGTGGCGAAACATGTCAAGCTAGCTTGGTTTTGGCAAGTGGTGAGACATGATTCGATTGCAAAGACTGCACTTCAAGGAACATTGTGGGTTAGTCGAAGAAGAGTAGGGCAAAGAAGAACATGGAATGGCAACATCAAGAAATGGACAGGACTAATTTATTATACACATGTTTATTAGGCAGAAGACAGAAAGTTGGCGGGTTTTATGTGCTAGTACTTCCATCAATACACCTCCACGACCCTAATGGATCAAGGGCTCTGTTATGTTATGTTAATGCTGAGATGACCACTGTCATAGAAAGTTAGTTGCGTATCCTTTACAGGACGTTGCAAAACCAACCCTAGCATTTAATTGGCTGTTGTGGTTTTTGTAGGCACATTTTATGTTCAGTAGTTTGCCATTGCTCCCTGAACGTTCTGCTCTCGGTACAACTGTCGAAACCAGCGCAAGACAAATCATCCGCAGCAAGCATCGAACCCGGTGTCGCGTGCGGATGTGCACTAGAACGCACCAGTACTAAGTGAGCACATAAGACGTCAAAACAATACGTCAGGTTGTGAAGGGATTGTATTCTAGGAGATGCAAGTTGAAGTTTGACCAAGGCGGACGTTTGGTCCGGCCTTGGTGTGGATCCTTGAGGATGCTTTACCCCGGGATGCCACGGAAGGAATGTTAATTAAAGTTGGATCCTCGAGGATGCTTTACCCCAGATGTCACGAAAAGTTGATGTTTACAGTCCGAAGGAGAAGGACGTGTAGATCCTTGAGGACGCTTTACCCTGGGATTCCACGGAAGCAGACGTTGTATAAAGTTGGATCCTTGAGGACGCTTTTACCCCGGGACTCCACTATAGACCTCAGCAGAAAGCTGGTATATTGTCACAGTTTGGCAGTAAGCCGGTATACTTACATAACCTTTTTCAGACTGCGGAACAGAAGACAGAGGTGACTGTCTGGATCTCAAGGTCGGACTGCGACCCGTCATGAGAAAATATCAGTCCATGGATGTACGAGCGGGCTTTTGTTGATGTGTTTGAATGAGTCTGGATTAATAATTGCATATTTTCTCCTTGTGTTGATCATTGCTATTGTCAATACACAAATGGAACCTTTAAAGAGAGTTCTCGTTCCGCTACGTTTGGAAGCTTCAACATTCATCATGTTGTGTTACACTTGGCCAGTGGCATATTAAGTGTTGATGCCATTTGTTACATTGCGACACCCTTATTCACCTTTGGTACGCCGCACATCACCACGCAGCCTTTACAGCACGTCACACTGTAGGCCAAGCTTTCGCTCGTCACACCCGGCATACCGGCATTACAAAGCGCGTTCGCAACGCCTATCTCCCCAGTCTTCACCTTACTCCTACGACTGCACATGACCACAGAGCCTCGACTATTTAAATATGGATGGAGATTATGTTATAGTAAATTGAATAGGTCTTTCTGGCGCATTTAGGTGTGATACGAATATAGGGCTAGACTTTTTTTTTTTTCAGTTAGCGGGTGATATGGTCAGTATCACGTCGGACACCTTCGCTGTCCAGGACTTTACCTGGTACTCATATAAAGCTTGATCGTTTGAAAACAGCCCGGCTTCATCATGACCTGACCCCACGATTTTCGGATCCCGCAGGCAAGCGTCTAGCCGCTACACCACCAAAAATGTGGAAATAAAAACTGTATAAGAAATGTTTGAGTATCATATAAACTGGAATGTTAAACTACGACAAAAGACATGACTTAGAACCATCCGCCTGTTGTCTGGACGGACGTGCATGCACTATCCTCGAGTGCTGGAGGCCCCGAGTTCTAGCCCCGTGAAGGCTGTAATTTTTTTTTTCTGACTTGAGTCAGAAGTAGAACGGAGCACATATGAGTTACCACCCTTGTGACGTGATGTTGATTCGTCGTCTAACCTAAACCTTAACACTGGCCTTTGAAGCTGAAACAAAAGCCTACTTGATCAATCACACCAAATGGGTGCTACGGAGGTAGAAGTCCAACAGTTGAATCGCGACAATTCACGCCCAGGTGATCTGACTATCTATACAGATGGTTCAATGTTGAGAGGAAAGAGAAGTGCCAGGTTGTTCGTAGTGAAAGGGGGAAGTGAAGAGAGGTTCTGCTCGAGGCTCAGAGGAAAGGCAAGACGGATGTTTAATCAGAATACCACTGGCACCATTAGTATCGGAACTCTTCGCTGGCTGCTGAAGACGGGGACGGAGCGCTTCCGAGAAAGCCCAGAGTGCTGTGATGTCCGTTCTTGGATCAAATCAATTCTACACGTACCAGCAAGAATTAAAATGTTTTTTTCCCCCCACAAAATAACAAATACACATTTACCCGGTTGACAACTTACCACTCTACTCGTGGGCGCCAAGTGCACAGACAAATAGTGGAATCTAAAACCACCTAAAACAGCCACGATCGCAAACAGACAAGAACCCCCGTTTGCCACGTTGGCTGCAAACATATATATGTATATACGCATCTCAAAAGGAACTATCATACTACAGCGTGCATATTTTCTTTGACAAACAAGTTAAAAAAAAAAAAAAAAAGAACTGTCGCGGATATCAGCAGGTACTTCTTTCTAAATCATTGGCCTTTAGGGTTAAAAAAAAAGAAAGGGTGAAACGACGAGGGGACGTAAAGCAATGATTCACAAACTGTTAAAGCTTCAGTGTATGTTTTAGGAGAGAGAGGGAAGAGATAGATACAGAAGTTAGCAGAGGGAGAGGTTAGGGATGAGAGAGAAGGAAAGGTTAGTGAAAAAAAAACAGAGAGAGAGAGAGAGAGAGAGAGAGAGAGAGAGAGAGAGAGAGAGAGAGAGAGAGAGAGAGAGAGAGAGAGAGAGAGAGAGAGAGAGAGAGAGAGAGAGAGAGAGAGAGAGAGAGAGAGAGAGAGAGAGAGAGTTCATAGAGCTTAGCGAACATTTCTGTTGTCATTTTAAAAATTACCAAAAGAACACCAAAACTAGAAACTATTTTTCTTCCATCAAAGCACCGCGCCTGATTAGATATTATTTTTGTAAACCGACGAACGTACTATGCATAGTTTAAAGAGAAAATATTAGCCAAACATAACATGTTTAGCCAAAAATAAAAATGTTTAACCACAAACTCTACAGAGATTTAACAATGTACTACAGAACTTTAACAATGTACCACATATTTTACAGAACTCTAACATTGTACCACAGATTCTACAGAACTCTAACAATGTAGCACAAGCTCTACAGAACTCTAATAATGTAATACAGACTCTACAGAACTCTAACAATGTACCACAGACTCCTCAGCACTCTAACAATGTACCACAGACTCTACAGAACTCTAATAATGTAACACAGACTCTACATAACTCTAGCAATGTACCACACACTCTAAAGAAATCTAACAATGTACCACAGACTCTACAGAACTCTAACAATGTACCACAACTCTACAGAACTCTAACAATGTACCACAGACTCTACAAAACTCTAATAATGTAACACAGACTCTACATAACTCTAGCAATGTACCACAGACTACAGAAATCTAACAGTGTACCACAGACTCTACAGAACTCTAACAATGTACCACAACTCTACAGAACTCACCTGTTTCAAGTCTGTTAGGCTGTTTTAGGCTCAGTTGTTTGCCTTCGATCAGTGAACGGGCGACTCTCTGTACGACTAATAAAATAAACGACGGGCGACTCTCTTTACGACTAATAAAATAAACGACGGGCGACTCTCTGTACGATTAATAAAATAAACGCAAAGCGCTTTGCTGCCAAAAGCTGACAGCTGAGTCGAAATGGGGTTTTGGAATTATGAACAGTGTTCGTAAACCCCTAAGTCACAGACGCCTGTAGCATGCGAGGGTTGTGTATTCGATCCCTGTGGAAATAAGAGCACCTATCTGTGTGGCGGGGTCATTACTGCCCCCCCTTATCATCAGCCGTTACCTTCTGAAAACAAATAAGTAATAGAAGTAAAACAAAACAAAAACACAAATGCTAGCGCCAAATCGATATTTTAATTTAGTGGAAAAGAATTGATAGTTTCATTGCTGAGAAATGAAACTGATTCTGCAGAACCGGCATTATCATTGATGATTTTTTTTTTAAACTCCACCAAAACAAAAATTTTATTGGCAAAAATATAATTAACATAATTATCATTGTCACCAGCACCCCTTAACTGCCACCACCATGATCATAGCATTCTTCTTCTTCTTTGCGCTCAACAGCTGTAATTTCTGGCAGTAAGTTCTGGTTGTTTGTCCACTGTGGACTCTAGTCCTCTTCCAGAAACTGAGTGTTGCGTGCAAATCTGGAGTTTGTAGCTTTCGGCGATCCTGGATTACACATTTACTGACACGTCGCCAGTTGCTGTGTTCTTTTAGCCAGTTAACTTTGCCGGGAAAGCCAAATCACTGGGGGGCTGATGCGCCTGATTAGCCCCGTACATTT